TCATTCTTCTCTGATCCTTTCCTTTTGTTTTTGCTGTCAGCAGCTTTTTCTTTACTCCTCTTTCTCTCTCTCTTTAAACTGCTCATCCCTCGCTTCTGACAGCCCGGGCTGTTCATCATCGGCCCAGCATGAGGGTGTCGCTGCAGTAGAATAGCAGCGAGTGTGTGTGTGTGTGTGTGTGTGTGTGTGTGTGTGTGTGTGTGTGTGTGTGTGTGTGTGTGCATCTGTGTCCAAGTGTGTTTGTGTTTGTGGGAGAAGCAAAGGAGTACGATACCGTAAAGTAACTTTTCAAATCTGCATGTGATATCCAGTCGTCAACCACGTCGTTATGGACGGTCATTTTTCACTTACACTACACTCACACACAGACACACACACACACACACACACACACACACACACACACACACACACACACACACACACACACACATAGACACACCAACATGCACAGCACTGGTAGGGGGACCGGGGGCAAATGCTGTCACAGTTTTTAAAAGGCTTCCCGTGGTTAGACATGCTTGAAATGGCATTCTGGTTCACTGGAGGAGGGGAGCAGGAAGAGGAGGGGAAGGGGGGTGAGGGGAAGGAGGGGGGCAGCTGAGTTTGAGAGTCACAAAAAAAACTGTTAACAGATGCATGAATTATAAAGGAGAGGACCGGGGACGGACAAACAATACATGACATAAAGAAACAGAAAGGTCCAACTTTAGAAAATTCTTAATTTTTTTTAAAATGTTTATTGAGTTTTAAACATTTTTCCAAGACACACAATTACAACTAAATAAACTCTAAGGGGGAAAAAAAGATATACACATGTAGAAAATACATTTTAATGTAATTTAACTTTGTCATTGTTCAAATCGTTCTCGAAACAGAATTGTCATGCAGCATTTTAACTGTGATTAGTTTTCTCATGACGACATGAGGTGCGATATACAGCACACTTACAACAAAAACTAAAGAGTGCATATCAAGGCCCTGCGGTGTGTCCAGCTCTGTTGCTACCTGTTGGCCCCCGTAGGAACCTCTGTTCAGCTTTAGCGGATCAGTGCACGAGAAGAAAAACGGAATTGAAAAAGCAAGTAAACGACTTCAACTTACCTACATTACGAGTGGTGAGCGACATCGATGTGGAAAAAGGTCTTTCATTTACTTTTCCGCATTCTTCTCCTTCCTCGTCCTCTTCCTGTTTCCCCATTTTGGAATGACGATTACAGACGGCCGCCGCCTGCTGGCACGGAGAGTTATTTCCTCTCATGTGCAGAACGTACGTGGTGGTTGGCTGTCGGCTGTAGTCTTTGCGGTGTGTTCAAGACAAAAGGCGTCGTGTGGCAATGTGAGGCGACTCCACTAGTTCTTTGCCGTCTGCTCGGTGTGTCAGGGCCTTTAGCTGTAACTTTAGATTATTTTTGTTTTTCTGCTGCTCTTAATGTTTTAGAAAACACCAGTGTTTGTCACATGTCCTGACAGAATTCAAAACAATCCCAAAAATATGTTTTTCTCATTAAACTGGAACCGGCCAATCTGAAGGTAGCTGATAGCTCGCTTGAGCTTCATCTGACTGCTTCAGAATAAGGCAAACATTAAAACTCAGGCCTCCATCCAGCAGGTGAAATATACACATGCTGAGATGGAAAGCATTGTTTACATAGAAAATGTTTTCCTTGGGAATTCATTCAGACGTCTGTGATGTGTTCATTCCCGTCGTGGCAACGCAGCGAGAGAAATTGGTAGATTAGAAAACGTTATTTGAAATAAAATGGCTCCTTATCTCACATACAAAATCCTCTTCCTCACCTACAAGTCTCTGCAAGGCCTTTCCCCCAAATCTGACCTCCTCCACCACGCCATAACATCCCGGACCTCCATGACACTGGTCTGCTCTCCATTCCACCTGCAGACTTTCAGGGGCAGAGCCTTCAGTGTGGCAGCCCACATCCACGAGAACTCTCTTCTGGCATAGGACATGTTCAAAAAACTCTTGAAGACCTCGGTCAGTTGTGAGCTTTTGTTTTTTTTGGTGTGACTTTTTTATGTGCCTCCTTTTGCTCGGAGTAACAGGACAGTGGATAGAGTCGGAAATCTGGTAGTGAGAGAGAGAGCAGGGAATGGCATGCAGGAAAGGAGCCACAGGTCGGATTTGAACCCATGCCGTCCGCTTCTAGGACCACAGCCTCTGTACATGGGATGCCCAAACTAGCCACTTTGCCACTGGCACCCCATATCCTGGAGTCCCTCAAAAGGTGCTATATATAACATTAAGCTATTGTTATTATTATTATTATATAAAACTCCTTTAAAATCAAACAATGGTCGTTGTTTCCACATGACGCCCCCGTGACAGGAGGGTCAGTGACAGTGTGTTGCGCTTGGTGTGGGAACGGGGGCTTCAGAGAGGAGGGCATGTGGGGAGACAGAAGAAGAATAGGGGCATGGACTGTTTATCTATGAAGTGATTTTTCCTCTCATCGAGGAGCGACGGAGCCAGGCCGCCCTATTGTTTGTCGCTAATGAACAACATGAACGAGTGTGAGAAAGAAAAGAAGTGAGAAGAACGGCGGCGGCAAACAAACGACGCAGATTAACATGAAAACAAAAAAAGTGTTTGCCCCGTCTATTTAACCCCCAAATCTGAGAAATCAGCATTTTTGTCCTGGTGGGGACGAAATAAACGCTCATGTAACGCTGATTCAGGGTCTTAATGCATTCTGCTAAAAGCAAAGCGTTGTCAGCACACACACACACACACACACACACACACACACACACACACACACAGGGGTTTGTCTACAGTAAATGCCTTACAGGCAACGGGATAGCTCTGAAAAGGAAATGGTCAATTAGAGTGTCTCAACCCATTTATTTATTAGTATGAAAGCTCCAGGCCAGGGTGATGTCATCTCTAACAGCTCCTTTAAAGTGTCTCAGACAGCTACCTGCATGGTTAACAGCACACTACTGTTCTGTCTCAGGTTTTCAAGATTTCTTCGTCTTATTTTCTATAGAAATAGCAGAAAGTCTATTAAAGCATGTTTGGCTGCTTTAAAGTAAGAGGAAAGACAACGTTTGGCCTACTGTCTGTACGTTTACGTGCCCAGACAAGTCGAGCTACGCTAACAGCGGGATCAGGCCGTTTAACTCGACTGCTATCCTTTTCCCGGTTTACATGCACGAGGGACAATCGATTATTTGACAGAAAAAATGTCCGACTCTGCTTCACTAGATGGCGATTTCCCCTCTTTGAGCTAGTTATTATTGGACTTTTTTCCAGTTGAACTTGTTCTAACAAATTAGCAAAAGATCAAAGAGGTGGTTGTATGTTAGCTCTGTGCACTTTGTAATGATTTACTTGGTTCAGATGTGATGCATGTTTTCCCTCTTGCAGCTAGCTAGCTCTAGTCTGCTCTGGCAGACGACGACCCGACTTCTGCTATGCTACATACTCGTGCAGTTTTGACTTCTGGGTCAAAGATTGTGGAGCATGTGCAGAACGCCTGGTCCAGCTTATGGTCACCCTTTTCAAGACTAATCAAACTTATCTTCCTGTGCTTAAGTCCGACATCGAGAAATTCCATTTAGCACCATTTCAGCCACACTAACATGTTGATATGCATTTTCAAAGTCCACTTTTAGTCTGACTAACTGATTAGTAGACGTAAACAGCATGTAAACAAATTGTGTGATTTCAAAGTGAGATTTATTCTTTATTGTCCTCTATGGGGTACAATGGCGTTGGTCTCCATGTCTACTTTCTTTAAAGGAGAACAGAAATGCTTGATGGAGTTGATTGACAGGTTGGTGCTCAGGTTTCTGCGGCGTTTTAAAGCTACAGCTGACAAACTGAATTTAAAACGAGGCTTATATACTGTACATTAACAGAAACTGTCAGACATGGACTATTCAAAAGCACATAAAGAATATTAACTGTGTCTTTGCAGAAGAGCATGCAACTCAAATATCTGCTTTTGCAAAGACATGTAGAAGTTTTATGTACAGCACACATTTAGAGCTCTCAAGTATCACTTTAAGCACCCTTGGAGAAGATTCTTGCTCGTGGCTACTGTTATTTCTGTTGTTGGTAGGAGCATGCACAAGGTTATTTTTTTTACAATGATCCCACTGTTGAGCTTTTGGTTGAATATTTGAAAGATTCTCTATTCTCTGATAATTTATGATACGATACAGTCAGTTGTGTTGACATTTTTTGGTATCTGGTAACAGAACATAACAAACAGAGGCATAAGGAACTTAAAACACTTCACTTCATGTCCTCTGAGATCCTAGAAAAAAACGTTCAGATATTTTAACCCCAGAGCTATGACGACGAGGGTCAACCGTCTTTCAAAACTGTCTTCATATCTTTGCTGTTTCTGTAACATCTGCATCGATACATTTATTTTCAAGGAGCACATGGCGATATATTGCCATATCGATATTTTGAGCACAGAGTTACAATCAGACTGTTGAGAGATGTTTCTTCAATGTTTGAATAATGGGTTTTTTTTCAGACTTTTTGAGTTTTCTTCTCCGTTTCTTTAAGTGCCACTGAATGAAAACAAATGTAGTCGTTGGCAATTGTACCACAGCTTAAATAAGAACATATATATTGGCTCATGAATTGCTTTTGTCGTCCATTCATTCCTCTTTCACCTCCTCTAGAGAGTTCCTGCAGAAAGAGAAAAAGTGTAAACATTTATCTGTAAACTGTTTCAGGCTCTGAATCCCACAGATCCTCCTGCTGCTTGTTTTCAATATCCTCCTCACCCTCCTCCTACTTTTTTTACTAAACCCCATCTTGCTCCTGTCTGCTCCCTGCCCCCGTTTTCTTTCCACCCAACCACCCAACCCATGTCCTCCCTCTGTGTGTGTGTGTGTGTGTGTGTGTGTGTGTGTGTGTGTGTGTGTGTGAGCAGGTCAACCCTCTCTACTAGGCAAGAGAAGTAAACTCCCCCTTTTCCCCCTCTCTCTCTCTCTCTCTCTCTCTCTCTCTCTCTCAGCTGGGCTGCTCCTGTCAGACCGGGTTGGAGGACAATCAACTGCTGCTGCCGCTGCCGGTCGTGTTCTGTATGGTGTGGACTTTCTCACGTTGCTGCAGACACACACACACATACAGGAGCTTGCATGCCCTGTACTCCCTCTCCTCCCTTCCTCCACCTCTCTCTCTCTCTCTCACACACAAACACACACTCGGAGGGAGAGGCAGTGTATGTGTGTGTGTGTGTGTGTGTGTGTGTGTGAGGATCGTGTGGTGTGTGGAGCTTACTGAAGAGAGGAGTGGAAGAGGAGTGGAGCGGCAGTCTCTCTACCATGCCCGTGCAGGGAGGAAGGCTGCAGCGCTGTGTGTCTCTCTGTCTCTGGAGCCCGAGTCCTCTGCTGCTGCTCGGACTCTTTTCTCTTCACGCTCAAGCACACGGTGAGTGATTGCAAACTTTTTTCCCCCGGAAAAGTGTGGCTTGTTTTCAATCTGCGTTGCACTTAAATGTAACTCTGACTCCAAACTTTTGAAAAAACTCTTGTTGTTCACTTCTCCTTCTGATCTTTTCCACTCTCCACATTTTCTGGTTACATGTGAGTTACTTTTTAAAAAAGCTGCTGCTGTTTGTTGAAGTCTGTGAACAAATCATGATGACAGTCTGCAGAGTTTTTAATAATAATCTGCTCCAGCTGATGCACACATTATCCTCACAACATATGATATGCATGCGCTTGTTTCACATCACGGGAATCCTTCATGTTTTTCTTTTATGTAACATTTACTGATTAATGTTAATGACTGCATTATGTAAAGGTTTTTGTTTTATCAAGGCCAGCGGCTTAAAGAAACCCAGGATGAGATGTTTTTACAATCTTTGTCACTCACTTTCCATCTTCAGATTTAATTCTCAAAGTTTTGTATTTTGATTTAATGTCATATCAATCGGTTCTGTCGACAACAATCCGTTGGAATAACCGTGTTAGATTTACAACAGAATCTACACACTTCAACTTATTGATTATCTTATAACTTCATTCTAGTTTCTCGGAGTTTCTTGGAGTTTGATATTTGCCCTGACACTCAGTCAGACTCTGTGTTTTTGCTGGCAGATATATTGTCATGCATCGACATGGTCACCGTTTGCCGCATCAGCCAAAGCTTCGTCTGTGACCATGTTTGGTATCTGAAGTGTGATTGGCGAGGTGTTGCATTTAATAGTCTGTTATGTTGGGCGCTGTGATTTGTGTCATTGTGGTTTTGACACTCTGTTGTTTTCTCTGAACCCTCGCTCAGCGCTTCTGTAGATTATCGGAGCTTTCCTTAAACGATATAAAAAGTGATTCTTATGAGATGTTGAGTGTTGTTGCTCGCACAGTGTTTTCTTGTGCTCGTCTATTCTTCTCCTCTCTCGTTCTTGTCGGTCTATTTAAAGTTTATTGGAGATTGTTTCAGCTGGAGAGCCCTGACGTTAAGCCAGCCGAGGCTCATACCTCATCGTCACAGAGTGCTATGTGCCGAGGTCGTCCTGGTGACCTCTGGCTGCATGTCATCCCCCTCTTTTCTCGTCCATCTTTCCTGTCATTGTCAACAGGGCCGAGTCGGCTTTCCTCTGGAGCCCAAGCTGTGCGTTAAGGCGGCTCCTTTAGAGCCACTCTCTTTTTTCTCGCGGAGAGAATCACGAACTCTGTAAATGAAAGAAGAATTCACACTGTGTTTAAAGACTCACAAGCAACAGTGACTGGTCTGTCGGGGAAGCTGCAGAACAGCTGCCAAAGAAGAAGACATATGTGAAATCTGACATGAAGTTGGACCGCGACCAAATGTTTTTTTTTTTCTTCTTGTTTGCATTACGCTCCAGAGAATCAGTCACGCCATGCATGTTGTTCAGTGTCAAGTAAATATTGCATTAGTAAGTACTTGTAGGTGCGCTGGTGGCCTAGTGGATAGTGTGTGCACCCCATGTACAGAGGATATGGCCCTGGGTTCAAATTCTTTACTCTATTCCCTGTCCTATCTATAAATAAAGGCCCAAAAATACACATTAAAAAACATTAAAAAGTACTTTTCTCTTCCTTCTCCTTATCTGAATCCTTTCATCTGAACCGTTTTATTGCTGCGATGTTTGCTAATGGAGCGTAGATCAAATCTGAAAGTAAGTAATGAAGAATAATGAACACACTGTCCTGTACGCTGTAAGTTAATAATTACAAGTTGTAGATTCCAAGAGCGTCCTCCAAATGTTCACATCAGAAATGCATCGTTTTAGTCTTTCCACCTCGCTTCATGTTTCCATGTTTACTGACCAATCTTGACACTGAGAAACAAATGTCCTCATATTACTTAAGGTTAATACTTTTTGTTGGTTGTTATGAAGCTGGGGTCAGGTCAGGTGTGTCCCCGCAGTTCCAAAGTGTTCAAACTGTATTCAAACAAACAGCGTTCTGCCCCGAGGCCTGCAGGCAATCCCCTCATTCATTTGTTGACACGCAGAAGATTGATTGAACCAGTTGCAGACTCATTCATCGGTTGTCATACAGATGATTGATCGGCCCCGGCTATAGCTTCAGATGTGACTCAACAGGTAAATATTTGTTTTCTGAAAAGTGGATGAAAAGAAAAAACATGGAGCGGGTAGAGAGAGAGAGAGAGAGTTAGTTATAGAGCTATCAGTGGCTCGTTCTTGTGTTCTTCCTCTGACTTTGCCCCTCACTTTATTTCCTCCATCTCTTCCCACTGCTGGCTGTTGTTTCATGTTCTCTCTTAAAGACTGCTAATGAAATCCTCCTGATCTGGTTGTTCACACATGTCGCTCACAGCAGGAGACTCTCCCTGATAAATGGGGGCAAGGCGGGGGGTCTCCTGAGGCACATCTCAGTTCCACTTCATCCACATGATGTAAAGAGAAAGACATGGAAGTTGCAGACGAAGCAACAGAGTCGCTAAATGACGCAATAATGAAAATATTTAGCCTAATAATAATGCTCTGTGTAGTTCAGCAGAACTACAATATCAACAAGAGAGCGGAGAAGAACAGACTGGAGGACAGAAAACGTTCAATTATGTTCACAGAGATCGCAACAGTCTATGATCGTGCACGGAGGGCAGGGAATAAACGTCACCACCCCCCCTTCTCCTCGCTCGTACTGAATTCTCCGGATTATATCCTGCTGCGTTCTCACATCAGCTCTCTCGGACTTCACGTGGAAATTCTACGAGAGGGTTAGCAAGAGAAACTCCAGATAAAGTCCAAGTGGAAATGTGGCTGTTTGTGTTCACACATGCAGCTCAGACAGATTTTGCAAGTGTGAAAGCAGCTGAAGTGTCTCCTGTTGTCACAATATCAGCATTTTAAACTTGGATACCAAACAAGTAAAACCTGTGTTGATGGTTAAGTAACAGAAATAGAAGTCCTAGTCACCAAATTTTGGATATTTTTGGTTTTGAATAAACAAAAATTGCGAGCTAAATTCCTGCACACTGTCTAAATTGCACAAATACATTGGCAATGCAACTTTGTCAATGTATTTATGCAATTTAGAAAAATCTCTCTCTCTCTCTCTCTCTCTCTCTCTCTCTCTCTCATGGCAGCTTTGTGTTGAAAATGTGTTTTTGTTTTTTTCACTTTGGTCCTATCAGATACTATCAGTCACTAAAATGACAGATTGTATTGTTTTAAAACACATGGTATCAAAGTATTTAATATTTGTACAGCCTCAGTAGCCACAGTGGATTGAGTGATCCCAGATCTTTTAAGACAGGTGTGAGACGTCTGCGATGTTGTGTCTGCATGAAGGTCACAGTTTGCTCTGCTCTGCGTCTAAACCCTTTTGTCTCTGCAGAGAAACATCGACAGGACAGTGTGTTCATTATTCTTCAAGGAGAAGTGAGAGAACACAGGGGGAATGCACTCCGCTCATGCAAACCTTTTGTGAATCTCACACTCACACACACACACACACACGCATGCACAGATCTTCTGTGACCTTCCACCTACGCCGTTGCTGCAGTCTTCACCGAGAGTTCTGGGAAGTGAGGAGTGAGCGTGATAGCTTACATTTCATTGTCCTTGGTGGAAATAAGCACCGCTGTATCGGTTTTCACAGTCAAAGCTCTTGCCAGTTGCTTTGCTTTTGTCACTGCCCCGCTAATGAGACTCTGTCGCGCTCTGTGGAAGAATTCTTCTCTTTTTTTGTTTTAACAGAGTTTTAAGCACCCAATTCATTCACCTCTTCACTCGTGCTGTTGTTATTCTCCAAGAAGTTTTCAACACTTTTAACTTGCAATTCTGCAGCTTGCAATTCAAATCTTGCAATTCTGCGATCTGTTTTTAGGCGCATGAAGTCCTTGCCAAAATCTAGTGCTTTCTCCGTTTGTCTGTGTGTGTGAGTCACTGAGCACCTGCTCCCTGATTTCAGCTTTCCCAGTGAGATTTTTACCTCACAGATTTTTACCTCACCATTAAACTGAGTCCTTCTGGTGTTACTCAGACTCTTAACTTTACAGAAAAATGAGCTGTGCAGGTACAAAAAAAAGACAGGATGCAATATATTTTTACCCGCATGAATCATCGCAATCTTATCACCTTAAATGATTCTCTTTGAGGAGACTCTTAGAGATTCATAGATGCACTCGGGTTCGGGAGTCATTGACAAAACTCGTGTCCTCGTGTAAAAGCCGACTGAGGCGTATCTCAAAAGGCGGCACTTTTGGAGAAAAAAAAGAGGAGCAGAAGGCTGCGAGCGGCTGACTCACTGTACCAAACTGCTGCTAGCGCTTTCTGCTCCTCAAAGCTTCCTGACAGGATATGTTCAGCCCCCCCCACCACCACCACCCCCACTGCAAGCCGATCCCTCATTAGAACCACTGATCCGCTGGCTGTTAAAGTAAAACACAGAGGGGAGGTGTTAAGAACAAATTGTCGGTGTCATGAGGTAAACTCACACCTTTTAGATCGAGGCTTCATCTTGTTTTTTTTTCCTCTGCGAGGAGTCTGAAGTCTGATCTTCAGCACAGCTGGAGTCCTCCTTACAGGTGAGGGTGTAGCACGAGTCGAGGACAGAGGGAGTGACCTGAAACGACATGTTGCCTGATTCGTACCTGGGTACAGGTCCTGTGTTGTGTGTGTTTGAGAGAGAAAAACATGATCTTGAAATGACCTCTGAAAAGGTGGAAGGTGTAGGGCAGAACGAGGAGAGTTTGGGACTGAGGGGTATTACATCCTGTAATGGATACAGATCCAGTAACTTGTGTCCCCGTCAGATTACCGGTCAGGCCGTGACTTCTTAAGACACAGCTGGAGCAGGGGGAAGTAATACATGAGTGTGTTTGTGTTTGAGAGAGAGAGAGAGAGAGGTAGAGAGAGTTTGGTACGTCAAAGAAAAAGCCTTGTTTTGAAGAGTCTGAAGTTGTGATTGTGCTTGTTTGGATCTTTTTAAGAG